ACCGAACATCTACTCAATAGACTACAGCGAATACAGTACTCAGCTGCTAGTTTTGTGACTGGACGTTATGTAAATAGTATTGAATCGATTTTAAAATTGGGTTGGTTACCCATGCGAGAACGAAGGGACTGGCATATTCTTAAAGCCGCACATAAGGCGTTTTATAGTAGCGATTGGCCTCTCTATGTTAGCCTTGAAAGGTCTGAACACACACGTGTTTTACGGTCTAATGCTCAAGTCAATTTAGTTTTTCCTTTAGTTTCTAATACCTTTCAAGATTGTTCAGCTTCATTATTTAATTCTCTACCAGCTGATGTAAAATCATGCACAGATCATAGAGACTTCTCCAGACAAACTTTTAATATTTTAAAGCAACGCTGTCTCACACTATTTAATTGTAATGCTTAGGTCTAGGTTTGCAACTTTCTTACTATTTCCTTAGATATTGTAGTAGTAGTTTTATTAGGTGAAGAGCCATTGTATGGAAATACTGATGATAAATCATTATTATTATTATTATTATTATTACTAATGAAAATAGACTATATTTAAGATAATTATGTAATCCAAAGTGTTACAGTGCGTCTACAGTAAGTGGGGCCACTTAGAGAACACTAACCAATCACATTGCAGAACAAAAATTGAAAAATCAACAAACGGCACATTAGCCAATCAGCATTAGGCCAAAAACAATTTGAACAAATAAACGAATGTCAAACGGTAAAAATAGACTTGTAAAAGTAAACACTGCAGTTAATGGCTTCCTGAATCTTTCTTTTGATTGGACGAGCTTTAGTTTGATTAGATTTTTCTTTTTGTTCTGCAATGCGATTGGTTAGTGTTCTGTAAGTGGCCCCACTTACTGTAGACATACTGTAATTTGTTTGGTATTTTCAGAAAATTGTCAACAGCTTGTTCTGATGTTTCCAAACAAATCAGAAAATGACCTGATGAGACATTTGCAGAATTCGCATGGAGATATAAATTCTGCAATATCATCAATTTTGAGCGATGATGGTATGTATAAAGGTCTAAAGGCACAATGCGACTAGTCGTATACGATTGCCATGCTGGTCAGCTGGTGTATGAGAACGCCAGTGTAACTAACCAGCTAGTAATGTTTATACCTGTATAATTATAGAAATTACTCAGGTTACTGTAATAAATGTGGTGGAAGAGGAATCTAGCAAATATCCTGATTCAAATGAAGGAAGTAAGTTGTATATGTATTGCTAGTGCTAGTTATGTCTGAACTCTCATATTGAACTCTCTGAACTTTAATTATGCAAAAGGAGAAATATTTTTGAACATATCTAGCTCAATGAGGACTCAGGTGATAATCTTCAAATTTTCATCTATGCAACTGGTTCATTATGTACAGTACCTGATGGATGCATTGAACATTACATAGATTTATTCAGCTTTATGGTGACATTGTATTATGTAGAGGTTCACATGTTCCTTGCATGATACTGTACTGTAAATATCGATCTTATTGTTACTGCTGTAAAACAATAGTAACCCCTTTGATTACTTTTATCTTTCTGGTAACAGAGTGTGGGCATGCTGTGGTTGTCACCCTATAAATGACTCCTGGTTGACCGTGAGGCACATCTGAAGTTTTCGAGGGCTAACCCTAATCTCAAACAACTTTGTTAACATTCCCTGTGAGAGGTAGAAACCTGAGTATAGCTAGAGTGACATCAATGGCTTTTGGTAAACTCTTCTTACATGAGTGTCACGAGCAGCAAGAATCAAACATACAGTACTATCTCAAAGCTTAAAGGCCCAAAATTTGTTACTGTACATTAGTAGCTCACATGCAGTTTTCATGGTCATGCAAATTGCTACCTATGACCTAAATTTTTGTTAATGTCTACGTAAACTTTCGAGTGTCTGCATAATTCTTCTTTTCAATTACTTCGGTTTAAGGCAAGTTAAACACAATTTGCTTGTGATGTTACTCTGAGTGTATATCCACACCGGGCAGGCTTGAAATATATGCCTGGCCACGGTGGGAATCGAACCTACGACCTTAGGAATACTAGCCCAATGCTCTGCCACGTAGCTCAGTTGGTAGAGCATTGGGCTAGTATTCCAAAGGTCGTAGGTTCGATTCCCACCGTGGCCAGGCATATTTTTCAAGCCTGCCCGGTGTGGATATACACTCAGAGTAATATCACAAGCATCTTATTCACCTGAGTACATTACACCAACACAGCAAATATCATTAAACACAATTGTATCTTGTTATTTTCTTTTTAGTTGCTTACCCTCTAAATACTGTGCAAATGCCTGCACATGCAGCCTGTTCAATGTATAGACGAAATATAATTAAAGTGAGTTCAAACAGACCAGAACTAATTATTGACTGAAAGTCACCTGCTCTCATTCGCAACCTCTTTAAAAAACTTAAGAGAGGAGAACTACAGCTTTGCGAACCGCCTGATGTAACGTTTGTTGGAGAAGAAGGAATTGATGCAAAAGGTTTAACAAAAGAGTTGGCATACATGATTGTCAAAGGCCTAAGAGAAGGAAATAAAGGCTATATGTTATTTGAAGGTCAAGCCAATCATATGTTGCCAATTCACTGTGAGGAACATGTTCAAAGTAAGCTGTTTGTATATGCTGGTCAGTTAATTGCATTTGCCTTCCTGCATGGTCACATTGGTTTTCCTGGAATGTCTCGAGCTCTTGCAAAGTATATTGTCTCTCGAGATCTAAAAGATGCCGTACCTCATATATGTATTCAAGATATTCCAGATATCAATACAAGATTACTTGTCAAGGAGGTGAGTACAAGACTGAGAGAAATATATAAACTAGTAGTTACTATTGCAAGAACATTGCTGCCACACACTTGACGCTCGCAATAGATACAGTACATCAGATCGATATTTGAATGATGCAACCATGCAAAGTGGAAACGTAACACCCGAGCCGTTTAATGTACGTTTATTATTCCGTTTATTATGTTTGCTAATTGGAATGAAAGTTAATTTATAATGACGCTTGCTCGTTAAAATTTTTAGCGCAAGGTATAATAACACAAAATATCTAATTAAACATGCCTGTGCAATAAAAGATATTGTTTGCAGCCACAGGATGTAAATCTCGACCAAGCCCAACATTATACCCAGGGCTTCTAGGTAAGAGGTTGATAGATTACACTCTGGAGTGGACTCTGGCACGTCAATAATAGTGTGCCACCTCTCAGCAACCTGTTGCAAAGGCTGATTTCCACTGTTACGTTTTTCATACGTACGTATACGCACGTGAAACTTTAAATCCGTTTAAACGTTACTTGTGAAATAACTAAATAAATAAAGCAACAGAATTTAGTGTTCCGCAAGTTTTAGTATGCATTTGTTAACTTATTTGTAAAATATTTAAAAAATAGAAGGATTCAAAAGTTTTACGTACGTGTATGTGTGTACGAAAAACGCAACAGTGGAAATCAGCCTTTATATTGTTAAAACTATAACATGCAATAAAGCATGCATAAAGGTGATATATTAGATTAGGTGTGTACTCTTGTAAATCCTAAAAATCAAGCAGCAATATAATTAAGGGGATCTCTATCAATATAAATTAATTGCTCTATGCTTATGAATATTATTGATGATGAGGCTGTGTAAAATCTTTTTTATCATGATGAGATTACCAAATAATATCATAGACTCATTGCATTTAATTAATATGCATACTATAGATTGAAAATGCAGAAACAAAGGAAAAACTGGAAGAGTTATATTTACGTGACGAAATGCAGAATCTCCTTGCTCAAGCTGGCTTTACAACAGAGTTTCTTTCTCCCACAAATAAGGACAGAGCTATTCAAGACATCCTTGTGCACACAATTTTTAAGTCTCGCCGAGAGGAAATTGAAGGTTTACGTGAAGGGATGGATGCCTTGCATTTGCTAGATTTCCTTCGTGTTAGCGAAGTGTCTATCCCCAAAGTCTTTCCACTTGATTCCGAAATAACATTTTCAGCAACAGACGTCATTAATGCAGTCAAGCATGATGAAGGTAGCAGTCTTTCTGGGCACCAGCATATGGTTATTGGATGGTTTATTCAGTGTATTAAAATGTTACAAAAAGGTACGTACAATAAGTTGCATATTGTTCTTTGCAGTAAGCATTATAATGATTTAGAAATTAGAATCACAATAAAGAACATTGTCATTGAAGAAAAGCAACAGACCAAATGGCCAATCAGTTTAAAGGCTTTTAATGGTAGTCAGCTTTAGGTGTCGCAAATTTTCGGCAGCCTAGAGTGTTAGAGTGACAGTTGCATGATTGTTACTATTGTGGCGTATTTATTGGAATTTAACTGGCGTGTCATGCAGCCATATTCATGCTGTTCACGTGCCAATTGTGAGTTTAATTTCACCTTTTGAAAACGGTGCAAAAACAGGGAATGTTTTCCACCCTAAACATATTAATGCGGATTGGAATGCAAGGTAATGTGTTGTACAAACTTGGAATAATTGTGTTTTTACACATGTAGATGAAAATGATGCTGTAACTGATGACACTGCCACTGGCGAGGGAAGTGAGTTACAAAGTGCACCTTCTTTAAAAGAATTTGTTCTGTTTATCTTTGGCCAACCAGTTCTGCACATGGAAATAAAAGTGAAATTCACGAATGGTTACTTTCCTGACCCTGATTCGTGCTTTGGTATAGTAAGCCTTCCTTTGATGCACACGAACTATGACAATTTTTGTAAAGCAATGAACGTAGCAATCAATTCTCAGCATGTTGGTTATGGGAGAGGGTAGAGTACATATGTATAGACATAAATGTAGTCTCTGAATATGCAGTAAAAAACACTTGAGTTATGTTAGTTACATTTGCACAAATAATTATGGTACAGTACATGTGCACAAACAATTCCGTGTTAAAAAAAACTGTCCATTAATTACCTGTTGCACTTTAGTACATTTCTGTTTGTAATATTTCATTTATGGTAATATTGCTTGATTATGATGGTGCTGGTGAAAGTGCCATTAATCCCAAATATGATTGTTTCACTGTATAATTTAAGGGATATGATATCATTAAGGGAATTATAGATTAGTTATCCTTTGTTTTTTTTTTGCTGCAAAAATCATTCCACAACATCATATCTGCAAATTTCAACAAAGAAAAGTTGGCCAAGAATCATGTTTGTGATCAGTGGCGCTTAATGCTTAAGCTTACTGAGTAATCTTATCTTGTACAGTAACTGTTATTACTGATTTATATGATATGTTAAAAAAGTTCCTATGGTTGCAAGAGCTACTATATAAGAGTCTATTCCTTGATCATCATGTTGAACACTGGCTATTGCATTGTTAATTGTGTTCACTTGATCATCAGAGAGTACAACGGTTGATTCAGGTACAGACACCAGATCACCTTCTTGAATATCTGGTATAGGCCCATCTTCTTCAATCCCATATTCATCCCAGTCTACAACTTCTCCATTAGCAACAGCACGGACAGCAGTGTAGTCATCGTGTACGTGCTGCATCATCCCCTGCACCCATAATTGTCTTGGGCTGAAGTTTTCCTCAGTAGTTATTGGATGGCTATTCCACTGATCTTTGAATTCCCGCAGAGCATTGTTGATCAGTGGTATATACACAAGATGGAGGCAGTAAAGGTGGACTTCATTTGTAGCATCTAACACACCATGATTTTCCAGGAATAAGAAAATATTTCGAAATCTACTGACAACGAGTCTATTCACCTCTCGCCACAGTCTCTCTATACGTTGATTATGTACAGAACTGCCTGTGATAATGCTACCCCTGTTTAAACCACGCACTTGCAGCATAGCTCTTGCCACATCTATATTTTCAAGTCCTTTGTCACTGCGCACTCGAGATGGCCAGTTGTATTGCCTGGTGGCTTCTCTAAATAGATTGAGAACAGTAGCTGCCCTATTGTTATTTGCAACTCCAATATAGACCAGTAGACGTGAATAGCCATCGATTCCACCATGAATCACAAATCTAAATGGCTGCACAAGCTTGTGATCACCATCTATATGCCTATTTATAGAAGCAAAAACATTCAATATCACAAACTATGCAGTTTAATGTAAATGACCAAGCTGTGGGCTTTTTGCTTTGCCATATTTTCTAATTTATGTCCGTGGTAACACGGCCAAGACAGTCTTCTAGCTAAGAGCTTGCTTCACCACTAGCCGATTTAAAAGTTTATAATTTAAAGAAAACAAAGCAAATAACATGACCATCAATACAGTTGATTTTGTATTTAGTACTCATGGGAAGTTTTTGGAGGTTTCTAAATATATATTATCGAGAGGAACAGCTCCTGACCACTAACAAAATCATTGGAGTGGCAGGGCCCTGTCTTCCACCCACCTGCAAACAAAGTTGAAGCCTTGTGGTGCCCCCCCCCTGCACACCTTTCTCTAATCATGAAAGCTTGTTGCTGCAAAGCTTTCACCATCCCTTAATAATCAATTTTAGTTGGTTAGTAGTGTTAGGGAAGCATCACATATCGATTTTGTTCATGAGAAACGTGATATAGATGTTTCTCTGGAGACCCCTACCCCACTCCCCTTAGAAATGTCACACATAGTTATTGATATTTTGTTCTTATAATAGACAAAGGGTAATTTTCTATGGTCAGCTGTTGGCGATGTTTCCGCGAGGAATATGCATGCCATCTTTTGGCATTCCTCACGGGCTTGATGCCTTGTGACGAGATTATGCATAACCTTTAAACCTTACACTTACCATAAAACATTAGGACAAGGAACATTATATTTTCTCCGAATAATCATTCTGGACATTCTCAAGGCAGATGTCACTGGATCTAATCTCTGCAAGGCAGAAATTACGCGATGTCTTTGCACTAATAAACCTCTAGATCTCAAAGCACCTCGGATTAAACCAAGCCCAGACTGCGGCGTTATTGTTAGGATATCTTTAATAAGATTGTCAAGTTCGTCATTCGTTATTTGAGAAAAGCTTTCTGCCTGGCCAACAGTCATGTCGTTTTCTCTACGTCGCCTATTTAATGTTCTTGTAGATACATGTAGGAGTGAGGCAATATCTGTCCACCGAAAACCCAGTCTTTCACGTAACACTACAATTTGCTCCTCGGTGATATTGAATCATGGTCTTCCAGATTGCCCAGAACTTACAAGCTCGGAACAAAATGGTTTATTCCGAAATATTTCGTAGAAGATACTCGACACGATCGAAGTCAGTGTTGCTCGAGCGTAGGGCAATATCGCAATCATACATCACATGAAGGAAATTTTGAAAAAAGTCGTTTAGGTTTGGAATATAAAATCTATTTCTTAAAACTCCACTCTGCGCCATTTTGGAAATTACAAGTAAAATTTTCGCGCCAATTTTCCCGTCGAGCAAGACTAGGCACTAGTTGATCGTGGAAGTCAATTCTCACCATATGATGTAAAAATATTTATTCGCAACTTGATGTGTAAAAATGCAAACATAAAAATATACGTTTAGTTGACATATTTAAAACAATGACTTGATATAAAAAATGGTGCGATTTGACAAGATATTTAAACTTGATATAAAATTTGGTACAACTTGACATAATATTTTGACTTGACATAAAAATTGTTTTCTTTGACATAATATTTTAACTTGATACAAAAATTTGTCCAACTTGACAATTTATCACCTTCGGAAAAGCATATGATACTATGTACAATTGAATGAATAACATAACGGCAATAGTTGCAACATTTTTAATTTCATTTGCAGCTGTTCTTCTGGTAGAGGTTTCTCCAATGTGCAGATGCTCACTCAAGCACATTATTCCATTCTCTTTGTATTATGTAAGTCCATTCTATTAGCAAACTATATGTTTACTGTATAAATATATCTCGGGCCATGTTTCTGAAATTAAGAAACATTGCTGTAATTAGTTGAGAGGGCCTGGTGACTAGTTAAAATCTTTCAGATCAAGATGGTGGAAGAGCAAGGTAAAATTTACACATTTTAAAAATGTATTAAAATGTATATTAATTCAAATTTGCATTTAACAATATTGGTAAAATATGGCTGAATATGAATGAAAGAAAGAATATTTACCTTTTTATTTATGTCTGACTGTTGTTGCTGTTTATTTGAATTATTTCAGAATACATTTATACAGATACTTGACAGTTGAGGTATTTCAATATAATTAATAATTAATTATATTTTTGCAATTTCTACTGTCTGTATTTTAAAGAATGTGTGTCATTTGTCAAATGGCGATGAAAAGGTACTCAATATGTTTCTTGCTACTTGCAGCCTTGGATGCCATCATGACTGACAATGAACTTGAACTTACAACAGTTGTGGAAGCAAGAGAAAACAACACTGAAATGATGATTGATAATGACAGACCAGTTGAGAATATGCTTATTGGCAAATCCAAACGGGGCCCAAATGTTCATCCAATATGGAGTTATGCATTTGATGACCCCACTGCTTACACCATCACCGGCCCTAACAATGCCATATGCAAACACTGCAAGCAATCTGTCCGGCATCACCACAAAATGGCATCTGTCAAAAACCACCTTCGAAAATGCTTCCAGTTCAAAAAGGTCATGTTGGAGGACACGACTGTCAGTGACCGCCCAGACTGGTGGACTGATCAAAGGGGCACTGCAAAGAAGTCAATGGGGTCTACATCCTCCAAAAGCACTTCTTCTGTCACCAGCAAGTCACAATCTTCAGTCAGATCATTTAGCATACCCCTGTTCAGTGCTTCAGAACAAAAGAGGTTCAATCATGAGATGGCAATGTATTTTTACTGCACTGGCACAAGTTTTCAGAGGGCTGAAGATCCATTTCTCCTTCGGGCTATCCAGTTGGCACGCCCGGATGCTAAATTGCCAACATGCAAGCAGCTAGCAGATGATGGTGCTGGGGGCCTGCTTGATGAATGCTACCAGAATGTCAAGGAGGAGGTCAATAAGGTGCTTTCCACTGATGGTCAATTTGTCTGCCTTACAAGTGATGCATGGTCAAATGTGGTGAACGATCCTGTTGTCGACTACACAGCTGTATCTCCAACTAAATCTTGGAAGTGGTACACACAGAAGAGCAAAGCCATGATGCAGACTGGCTTTCCACAGACCTTAGTCATATCATTGATAGTCTCGGTGACAATGTGGTTGGTGCAGCTACCGATAACACAACAACCAACAAGAAGGCATGGAGTGAATTGGAGAAAAGATACCCCACATATATTTATGGGTGTGTGCCCATGGTCTTCATCTTCTTGTGAAAGATATCTTTGCTGCCAAAAAGAAGGATGTCTCAGGCGGTGGTCCTGCTGAATATCGAGCTGGTTACCCATTTGAATACCTGCTCCAGTTTGCTATCGACTGCAAGGATGTTTGCTTTTTCCATAACCACCATATGGAAACGTATGGCTATTAAAGCAGTCATTGCAGATCCTGATTTTGTCACCAAGCTTGACGAATGCACCACGATTCTGACACCAATCGACATGCAGATAAAGATCTTCCAAAGCGATGCGGTGCCATGCTCAGATGTGTACAAGGCATTCGTTGAGCTGGAAGAGAAGATGCACAACCTGTCGAATCTTGAAGCAGACAAGAAGTCTTACCTGGTCGAGCTGGTGTGTATCTCCTAGATACCTGGGTGATGGTATGCTGCGCACCCTACGAAAGGAGATTGAAGATTTTATCTACAAATTTCCCAAAAAAGATGGTAACACAAGTGAAGCATGGATGGAGCAGTTGGCCCAAGAATATACTGCTTTTCAAATTGAAGTGCTCAGAGAAAGGCAACAGAGCACATTCCTCTTCAAAATGATTGGCAAGTCCAAGACGGTACTCCAATGGTGGATAGCCAACGGCACGGATTGGCCATTATTGCAGAATCTGGCATTGTGTGTCTTTTCTATGGCAGCATCCAGTGCCACCTCGGAGTGGAATTTTTCCACCTTTTGGATTTATTCATTCAAAGCTATGAAATCGCCTTGGTACCGAGAAAGTGAAGAAATTGGTCTATGTCAAGACAAACAGTCTTCAGATGTCAGATGTGCTGCTCAAGGACTATGATTCCGACAGTGACGAGGATATTACATTTGGGGACATTCTGATATTATCGTATTAATGAAGTTATACGGTTTTTTAAATTTTAAAGGTTTTCTCAAAAATCATCTTTAATTGTCTTTAAGTTTTTTTTCTGAAAAAATCTTCTTTAATCCATCCCTGTATATATATAGTTCAGTACAGTACAATACATACAGTCAGATGGCTGGGACACCACAACAGTTAAAACCTATTACTGCGGGCCCTTTTAACATATAATAACTAGAAACAACAATTTATAACACTGTTCAAACTATGACAAGAGTTACAGTTTAAACACACAGATTTCCATGTTTTTGGATCCTCTACGTCATAACAACTATGCAGGGCTTCCAAATAATAGTTCTGCAGCAATCTTTTAAATGTACTTAACAACATATTTGGCTGTCTTAAGTTTGTTGGAAGACAGTTTCAAACTCTTGTGGCTCAAGTGAAATACAATCTTGAAACATATATGCAACGCAAGAGAACAGCACACAAAGAATCAGATCCTTATAAACATATTCACACATATATACACATCATATTGAGATATCATATTTACCATTCGGTTTTGATGCTTTGAAGCTGGTATTGGTTTCAATTTATCCATCTCCAGTGGAACAGCATCGATTGTTGGGAGAGTATCTGGCTTTAAATATCTTGCTTTTGGTCTGAGATGTTCTGGGATATTCAGAGAAAAGCTGTGCGGATAACACAAGGGCTTGAAGTGTGCAGAACACACAACAGAGTATTGTGTGGGTGAGAAATTTATGTTGTGTCTTCGCACAAATTTTGTCCACGATCTTCGTTCATCCGGTCTTGTTTTATCCGAAGGAAATTTATGCATAATTATTACTGGTGTGTGCATAGAATTTTTGCAACTAACACTACCAGGGCTGCCACAAACACAGTATCTTCCACCTTGCTTTACAGGAGCTTTTTGTGATTCTGCCATACTTGCAAATATAAAACACTGTGATATGTCTATACGCCTACGTCACAGGCCATATGACACCTTGATTGACCGTGCAAAAAAAAACTAAAATTAGCACAATTACTGATAATTTATCGTATCTTTAAATCGTTTTAGTTTAAAGAATATCAAACCAATCAATTACATGAAATTTTGCCAGGTTGTTTTATACATATAGATCTTTCATTATATAAAAAAAATCAATTCAAGATTTTCATGTCATAGACACTTTAAATTAAAACATACTGAATTTTCCTACTTAGCAAAATGAAATAAAATAGAACTGTATTTTACATTTACACAGATAAGGGACCAATCAGTAATAATGGAAGGCAGGGGAGGAGCGGTAGTTGAGAAAAGGGGAAGGCTTCAACTATTGCATACATGCAGCGTCATCCCCACTGGTCATCCCATGCAGTGCTTCCACTTGCAAGGAAATTTTGTTGCAAAAAGAAATAAATTTTACCAGGAAACGGCAAGGAATTTTGTTTTCAGCAAGGAAATAAGGATATTACGTTATTTCTAATAAATCCTAAGTTTATAGCAATTCCCAAGCAAATATGCATCAGAAAATGTTGAAAATCCTCGAGTGATGACCTCAAGCCTCCTGTTGAAGTTTCTTTATAATTAATTTATAATTTATAATTGCAACGTTCATGGTGTTTCTCACCCGAGAAACACACTGTCATTCAGGATAAATTATTGTAATATCAGATTTAAACTAGGTAAAATTCATCTTCTTTAGTGCAAGGAATTTTTGTCAAAGAGCAGTTGGGAAGGAAATTCTTTTTTACACCGCTGCCGCCATATTTTTTATAATCAGTTCATGATTTCAAAGTTACAATATTTTGCTCGATATTTCGAGCCGATGAAGCTTTAATAAGCGAAGATGAAACATCAAGGATGATGGAGTAATATCCAGGTAATAATTTTGTTATGTTTTATGTATAATAGAGCGATTTTGAAAGGAAATATTTACTATCTTCATTCGTGAATTTTGAGAATGCATGTGTTTTGATGTTTCAGCTTAACATTTGAATTTGCCACGACAATAAATTAAAACGATGATATGAAACATTAGTTTAATTCAAAGGTTTACATTTGACTCAGTCTTTATATTAAATTATGTTTATTGTAACTAATGCCAAATATTTTTTCTGTGTTGGTGTAGTGTACTCAGGTGAATATGATATTTGTGGTGTTACTCTGAGTGTATATCCACACCGGGCGAGCTTGAAAAGTATGCCCGGCCACGGTGGGATTCGAACCTACGACCTTTGGAATACCAGCCCAATGCTCTGCCAACTGAGCTACGCGGTCAGGACGGTTCGAGTAAGTGATATTTCGGAACAGAATCTAGTTCCTTTGATACCAATGTATTCTAGTAATATGATTTTTT